TTTTCGACGATCTGACAAACGGCTCAACCGTGAGGATCCTGTTGTGCAGCCTGAAAATTTACTTAGATTATTTGGATTTATATTATTTTATAATACTACAAATCTTACTGGTTTTCGCCAATCCCTCGCGATGTTGTTCTGCTCGAATCAAAATTAATTACAACAAGTCACCATTTTTGCCAGATTTTCCGCTATTTAGCCGTGATTTTGCCCTAAAAGCTGGCTGTTATGAAAAAAATAAATATTTTGCTGAATGGAATAATTAGACCCACAAATTCTTTTATTTTTCTTTGTCCATGTCTTGCCAAACCCTTTCGGTCGATGAGATCAGGGTCTTCTACTGATGGGACTTGTCGTCTGATTGCTGATTCAACAGGATATTCTCTCCAGTTAGTGCCATTAGATAGAGCAAAAAAAAAATCAAAAAAATACCAAAGCTTTACTAAAATGTTAATTTAGCCAAAGACAATTTTTGAAAATATCGTCCATAGATTTTAAAAATAGATTCAACAATAAATCCTAAAATTCTTAATCTTTGAGTTTTTAGAATTTTAGAAAGTTAAAAGGATCTTCTTTAAGCGTACCTCGAGTAGCCATTAAAACATAAATCAATCTTTTTAAGTGCTCCGCAAATTGCTTTACGGTCCATTTTTGACGACGGTCGATTTTATTCTGAAATTTAAATTCAATTTAAAATCATCAAATGTTAGGCATACCTTCTTTAATTCCATTTAAATATCTATATCATAATTTAAAAATTAGGTGCTCAGCGCGTTATAGAAAGAGGTTCAAGCGAGTACAACGTTGCACTCGAACTTCAGCCGGTTTTATTAGAAAACCGACGCCATGGAGAAATCACCCAAGATGAGGTCACCGGGGTGAGCTGCAAGAAAAAGTAGAAAATGCCAAAAAAAAAAGCTCTAAAAAATTAAAACCAAAAGCAACACCATGATTAGGCAAGCTCATTACAGATCTCTTAATTTAATTCAACGCCAAAACTAACAAAAATCTTTATTACGACAAATTATTGGATTGGCCCCGTCGATTCCGGTCAATCATCCGCTGATCTCGCTCGGTACCGGACTGACTCCAGCTGCGTTCTCTTTTCTAAATGTAAATAACTAATTAAGGCATCAAATTTACAAAATTTATACGGTCATTTTTGTACAAAAATAAATAAAATAACCTGTTGGTCATCTACGCTTTCTTCCACAAGAGCTATTCTTCGACAAAATACCAACCTGCATGTCCCATTCGCATTACATCGTTATTTCCCTTTTAAATCATCCTAATTAACGTCACTTCGCTACAAATAGTAGCTCGTTGCTAAACACTTCTATCTAAAGTTGCATATATTTTTTCGGCGACTAAAAAACCCTGGCTGGTTGACGGATGTACTGTATCAACACTGGCCTTTGACATTACCCATTCATGGCAATATATTTCGGAGGCTCCGTAGGCCATCATATTTGCCGGGTGGCGATTTTTTTTACCTGAAGAATACAATAAAATCCGCCCGGACCCTCGAATATAGTTATTAAAATTATGTTTGAAAACGTAGCTTACCTTGAAAATTCCATTTAAAAGTTGTCAGTGGTGATATTATGGCAAGTTCAATACCCGTGCTCCTGTTTTGCCTGGCGCATCGCTTTCCCCAAAGCGCGTTTCCCGTCGATTCCTCGAGTGCTGTGAAGCACAACATTAATTTCGCTCTCATGCATCGACCATATCGAGTAATCGAGCGCGTTTAGATCAGGGGAATCGTAGGAAATGACTGAATAAAAAAATTAGCTTTGAATATTTTCGGGATACCTGCAGTCACCATTCAATATAAATTATCCTTTTGCAAAAGCTCCTTTGCAAATTTTTGTTTTATGATCCGATCGGTTTTATTCTGAAATTTAAATTTAATTTAAAATCATAAATTTTAAGTCATACCTTCATAATTTCCATTTAAAATGTTTTATGTAAAAATTTAAAAATTAGGTGCTTAGAGCATCATAGTAAGCGGTAGGATCTAGCGCAAAACTTTTGCCGGTTTTATTAGAAAACCGACAGCATGGAAAAATCACCCAAGATGAGGTCATCGAGGTGAGCTGGAATAAAAATTAGAAAATTCCAAAAAACGCTAAAATATATACAAAAAGATTAGAAGCAACACCATTAATAGGCAAGATCATTTCAGATATCTTAATTTAATCCAAGACAAAAATAGAAAAAACATTTATTACGACAAATTATTGGATTGGCTCTTGAATTCTGCTCGATCATCCGCTGATCTCGCTCGGTACTGGACTGACGCCATCTGCGTTCTCTTTTCTCAATACAAATCATTAATTAATGTGTGAAGATACAAAATATGTGAAGATCCAGGCAATTTACAAAATTTTTTACCGGCTTTTTTTGGTACCAAAAATCACTAGCCTTTTCCTTTCACCTACGCGTTTATGCAAAAGAAGAATTCATTGAAGACGGGATAGTTCTGCCTGCACCTCGCATTACATCGTTATTTCAATTTTAAATCATTCCAATTAACGTTGCACATCTTGACGTTGCTGAACACTTTTATCTAAAGCTGCCTCTAATTTGCCAGAAACCAGACAATACCCTGGATTTGTTGACGGAGGAATTGTGGCAACACTTGTCCTCGACATGACCCATTTACCGCGAATATTTCCGAGTTGTCGTGGGTCATTATGTTTTCGTCATTATCGTCCCGAATCAACATCCACAACCTAAACCGGCTAACTCCTTGGAACCAGAAAAATAAACCTTATATTTGGCCAAGTCATTGAACGCTTCGACGGAAGCTAATAGTAAGTGGAGACTTTTTACCTGGAAAATACGTTAAAATTCGCTCCAAGAGCCCCGCATACGGTTAAAATTGGCTTTGCAAATGTGGCTTACCTTCAAAATTCCATTTAACAGCTGTTGGTAGTGATATGATGTCAAGCTACGTTGCGTCAAACTTAGGTGGTCGTTGTGAAAATTTGAATCGAGGTATCGTAGTCCGGCTTCCTATTTGGCCTGCCGGAGCGCGTTCTCAAAGTGCCTTTTTCGGTCGTCGCTTTTCCGCTCCCGTGCATGGACCATATGGAGTAATCCATTGCGTTTAGGTCCGGGGAACCGCAGGAGCTCTCTGAAAATACAGGGCTTCAGCGATCTTGAAATTTACCTCCAATTGCCATTAAAATATCAATAATTCTTTTGATTGTGCCCTTGAGATGCGCGCAGATTCGTCCTTGCCAACGAGATACTGAAATTTACAATAGATTTAAAATTATCGAATCTTCTTCATACATTCATTATTTCCATTTAAACGATTTTAAATCATAATTCAAAATTAGCTGCTTAGATTATCATCAAAAGCAGTAGAATTCGGCGCAAAAATGGCACTCGAATTTTAGCCGGTTTTATTAGAAAACCGGGAACATGGAAAAATCACCCAAGATGAGGTCACCGAGATGAACTGAAATGCAGATTAGAAAATGCCAAAAAACCCTTAAAAGACCAGAGGCAACGCCATTATTAGGCAAGCTCATTCGAGATATTTCAATTCAAGTCAAAACAAAGAATAGAAAAACTATTTATTGATCTGCTCCTTTTACTAGAAAGACTTCCAGTCGGGCACATCTAGATCCAGACACTCCGGAAACCGAAAGTGATAACCGGGACCTAAACACGTGTACTACACTTCTATCTAAAGTTGCTTACATGTTTGCATCTAGGTTATGTATATTTGCATATGTAGTTTACCTTCAAAATTATATTTCAAAGGTGTTGGTGGTCAGAACATGTAATGTCCCATTGCTGATAGTTTGAGCAGCAGCACAATGTTTGGGATATTAGGCCTGCCACGGCGCTGTCTCGAAGCGCCTTTTTCCTCGTATCGCCAGAGCTGAGGAGCACAAGTTTAATTTCGCTCTCATGCATCGACCAGATGGAGTAATCAAGCGCGTTTAGGTCAGGGGAATTCGGAGGCGATCTCGGAAAATGAAGGTCTGCAACGTTACGTTTCTGGACTATTTAGCGGAAGCGGGTATGGCAAATGACTAACTAAATAAAAATCACTTTTATAATATGTTCGACGATTTTTAGAAAACTAAAAACTGATGAAATTACGATAAAAGTTTTCAAAAATGTTAGAGTTTTTCATAAAAAATCTATGAAAAATGACGAAAAAGCCAAAATTTCCGAATTTATACATTTTTTATATTAGTACTCTGGTGGTGGATAAGAGGCCAGTAATTTAATATTTACCATGCAGTCTTGTAGTCGAAGATCCTCATTGGCTAAGATCATCTTCTTCTTCCTCCAGAGAGCCTCCAGCCCGTTAATACACACATCAAAACTTTGGTGTGTCCATGCAACGGCCGCCATTATCCATTACGACTATATGCCCGAAGCACCCTGAAATTTCAATGATTCATACAGGAAAACAACCTTACATAATTTTTGCATAACATATGTCATGTAAATTTTCCCAATATATTGTCACCATCAGCACAAGAGCGTCTCTGAATTTACAAATTCAATTTAGGAACGGAAAATCTTTGCATACCTTTACATTTCCATCCTAAAATAGTTTAAATAGTCAATTTAAATTATTCTGCTTAGAACATGAAATTGAAAGCATTAGAATCGAGTGCAGAAGTTGCCTCCGATTTTGGAAAACGGTTTTCTTAGAAAACCGACGCCATGGAAAAATCACCCTAGATGAGGTCACCGTAGTCACCTGAAAAAGTTAAAATCGTGAATTTAATAGATTTTCCAGATTCCTAAGCCGGAAAAATTAAAGTCGAGACAGACCTGGACACTCCAAAAGCGATGACCTAAAAAAAGATATTTAAAAAATACAAAAATCAAGTGAAAATCGACACTTTTAGTCAATTCAAAACCGCCAATAAATAAAAATTTTTATTTTTCGCGTAGTATATAATGTTTATAATTTATTTTTGCTCAGGTTTTTGCTGTTGCTCTGGTATATGTCGTGGCTTTCAACTAAAATTTGATTAAAATTTGATACAACTGGAAAATAGTACCCCATGAATCTTCGGAGCTCCATGAATATTTTTTCGAAGATATCCTGATATGGCCAGGTGCAATGGAATGTCGTCTGGAAATTGTGCATGATTTTCATTAATGAACCCACAAAACGCCATCAAAGTAACTTTCCATAATTTTCCATCAAACAATTCCATTTAAATTTTTCCAATATTTCCCACCATCAGAGCAAAAGCGGCTCTGAATTTCCAAATTCATTTTAAGAAAAGAAAAATCTTAGGATACCTTCACGTTTTTATTCTAAATAGCTTCTTGTTCACCATCAGCGAATCCGATGACGAACAACCCTTGTCTCCCGCGCGTAATTGCTACACATGCTCTGAGGGAGCAAGCAGACGAGTAAGGGCCGACGTTGCCTCGGGTCGTCTTGCTGGTGAGGACGATGACGACGTCGCACTGTCTTCCCTCGGCCTTTTCCACTGATGAGCAACGTGGCTGCTGATGTGTTGGCAGCTGTGATGCGAATGATCGCTTCCATGAGCTTCTTCTGTCCATTATATGACGTTATGATCCATAGCTGCTCGGCCTGGAAATTTCGGAGCAGGGTTTTGGAAGATTTGCGTCCTGAGTCGCGCCTCGTCTCGATTTTGAGCGTTTCCCTGGGCGAGTCGTTCTGCGCGGCTATCCAGGATGCTGAACGTCGCCAGAGACTGGTCTCGCGGGCTCCATGGATTCATTATGGTGAAGAGCGTCCGGTTTTTTGGGCAGAGCGGCGTGTTTTTTCGATCCTTATAGAAGACGTGTTTGGCAAGGTCCATGAGGCCTCGTTGGCATTTCCAGGATAGGGCAACGCGGTGGACTCGGGTGGAGTTGAGCATGATGGCCAAAGCCGGTCGCATGGCCCAGCCGTACATTGTTGAGATGTCGGGTGTCAGGCGGCTGATATCCCCGATGAGGTATATGTTGGCCAACTAGAAGGGTGGCGTCATCGAGTGCGGACGTGTACAAAGAAGAGGCACTCACTCAAATAAAAAACTCATGAGTCGGATGCGTGGGTATAGTTATGAAACTCACACTAAAATCGATCTATGGCCTCAAGATCAATGAGCGCTTGTCCAGAATCTGCGTGAATCTTCGGAGCTTCATGAAGAGGTTTTCGTAGATGCTCCTATATGGCTAGCTGTAATGAAATGTCATCTGAAAATTGTGCATGATTTTAATGAATGATTTCACAAAAAAGCTAGCGAACCAACCTTCCATAATTTTCCATAAAATAATTCCATATAAATTTTTCCAATATGTTCCCACCATCAGAGCAAAATCGGCTCTGAATTTCTAAATTCATTTTAAGAAAAGAAAAATCTTAGGATATCTTAATTTTTACCATCTTAAATAGCTTTTTAATCAGCATCAGCCAATTCGATGACGATCAACCCTTGTCTCCCGCGCGTAATTGCCACACATGCTCTGAGGGAGCAAGCAGACGAGGAAATAGCCGATGTTGCCTTGGGTCGTCTTGCTGGTGAGGACGATGACGACGTCGCACCGTCTTCGCTGGGCCTTCATTGCGGCGAAGAGCGCCCATTCTTGTTTTTCGGTGTATTGTGTCCTTCTTGATCGAAAACGTGGTTGGTGAGGTCCATGTCGTCGACTACCTGACCGGTCCGCCACAGGCCATAATTTTGCCACGCAAATCTCTTCACTATTTTGTGACCATTAGCGCAGCAGCGGCTCTGAATTTTTGAATTAAATTTAAGAACAAAAATCTTAAGATACCTTTACTTGTTCATCTTGGATTAAATAGTTGAAATCTGCATCAAAAATTATTGTGCTTGAAATATCATTTTCAACGCACTAGAATCGAGCACAAAATTGCCCTTGATTTTTGGCGGTTTTATTAGAAAACCGGCATCGTGGAAAAATCACCAAAGATGAGGTCGTCAGGGCGAGCTGGAAAAATTAGGTGTGATCAAATTTTTTCCTGGAAAGTTGAGACTTAGAAAACTATGACAAGCTATCTTTCATGCCATCCTGAATCCCAAAAATCTGAAAAGTGGATTCAAAAAATAGAGGAATCAAGTGAAAATCAACACTTTTAGTAAATTCAAAACCGCCAATAAATATAATTCTTTTATTATTCGCTTAGTGTATAATTTTTATAGTTTAATTTTGCTCCGCATCTGGTATACATCGTGGCTCCGAACTAGAATTTGATTAAAATTTCATACAACTCTAAAATGGTACCTTTTGAACACAATAATAATGGAATTTAAGGCTAGACCCGTCGCCGATAGCCAATTTGCGTGACATCATCGTCCGTATCGTCACTGTCGTACTACAGAAATGACATTTGAGATATTTATTAGCAAAATGACGATTCCAAACTGCGTAGCTTCTTGTGCAGACTTACCTCGTTGTCGTTTTTTCGATATTATTCCCTTTTGCTCTTCCAGTATTCTGGGAAGTGGAAGCAGCTGCGATAAAGTTGCTTTGCTCGGTGGCGTATGCATTGTGTAGGCTTCTTTGTGAATCTTCAAAATGGTTCGTTAACCGATTTTCCGGAAATATTCATTCATCTCTCTCTCTCTTTCCCTCTCTCTCATCTCTGTCTCTCTCTCGCTCTTTCGTTCTTTCTCTCTCTCTCTGTCTCTCTCTCTCTCTCTCTGTCTCTCTCTCGCTCTTTCGCTGTCTCTCTCTCTCTCGCTCTCTCTCTCTCTCTGTCACTCCCTCGCTCTCTCTCTCTCGCTCTAACACTTTCTCTCTTCCCTTACTTTTGGCTATCTCGAGCCTTGGAAAGTTAACATACCTCAACTCTATTTTATTCATTCCACCGACTGACTCCACTAGCTCTCAATAGCCAAAGTAGCTAGCTTGAAATCCGTTCAGTTCCTGAATCGGTTAACATTTCATTTCCAAAGCGCATCCATTCTGCCTAGAATTTCTTATTTAATCGTTAATTTTTGTTTATTTAAATTTCAAGCTATAAAATAGCCCCAAACGGTTCAATTTTTTCTAAACCAACGAGCTTACCAGAATTTTGCGGCTTCCCCTATCTCAAAATTGGTAAATTCCATCCAAAGTTGAAATCGATTTAAGCCGGCATCATTTTCTGGGCCACTTCGTCTGCGGCAATAGATTTTGAAACCGAAAATTTTAATTTATAATTTTTTTCCAAAAACTGGATGGTATCGAGTGGATTTTTAACGCTACTTTTAAAAACTTACTAATTTTCAAAAACGAAAATTTGGTAGTTTTTCATTCGAAACAGGAAATTTCAACAAAGAATTCGATAGTTAAATTAGCGTTCAGTTTTAACGTTGATTTATTCCTTTTTACAATGTGAACCAACCTCTTGCCAAGCAATACTTTTTCGCAAAATATATCTGTAAAGAAGAGTGGATTTTTCCTAGTTAGACCATTCGTTCTATTTCCGTTGTGTAACTGAATAGACCCCGACGTTATGTGGTCTAGTCGATAAGATGGACCCAGTCATTTTTAAAGTTTATTTTCTTCGAGATTAAGTTTTATATTATTTTATTTTTTCTGCGTATCTCAAAAAATACTAATAAATACATACTATTTAAATACGATTAATACTAATACGTTAAAAATTAATTTAATTAACTCACTAACCTTTTCTCATTTTCCACAAATCTATGCTTAAAATAAATTCCTCAATAATCCATTTCTCCTCAAAATCTCGAATCTTCTAGTAGATTCTCTGGGATTGGTGCGATTTTTGTATAGATCGCTCAAAACATATTTCTCCTAAAATTGTTAGATTGATGCTTTGTATTGCGTTTGTCGAAGATACCCGTTTCAGTTCCACATCTCTGTGGTTACGAGGCATAACTTTATCTTTCGATTTTTTTGCCTGCATCCAATCATCGATTTTGCTCTAAATGCTCTAAACTTAACTTTAACTATAAATAGAAAACTGGCCTTTAGAATACAAATTAACGATAAAAACTAGTATTGAATTGCCCAGTAGTTAGAACAGCACGCTTTTCTTTGCGAAAATGAATAGAACTTTTACCAACAAGAATTATCGGAAATCCAAGCCCAAAAAATCCATCGACATGACTTGCCTGTTCCTTTAAAAGATGCTGTTAAAAACTGTGGCCCGTAGGGTAGGCTCACAGTGATATTATTCCCCTTATATGTAACTGTTATGTTATACTATTAGACGTACCGTACGGTTGCGGTTTATTCCTATTACAAAAAGATAAATAAGAAATATATACTTAATATAGTATGGTGGTTCTCATTGTCCTGTTGGACGAGGGGGTGAGACAGGCGGACTGATAGGAAAAAGCCTGTCGTGCCATCCCAGAGGGCACTTTATATAATCTAGGCGGGGAGGGGGAAATAACGGGCTGCTCGCCCAGGGTGCGACAAACCAACCATTTTTCTTAAAAAATTATCATTAAATTTCGACTAGCCAGTACATGGGTACCATGACTGGTTCCCTGAAATTCATCAGATTTTTTAGCTAAAAAACGTGAAAAAATAGCAAATACGGTAAGAAATAATACTTACAAATCATTCTTTTAAATATAAATACAATGTTGGAAGACACACACCTTACAGCGGCTGAAAATTCGAGATTGTAATGATAAAATAAACCCATAAAAACGATGGGAAATACGAACCATTTCCCACTAAGCCAAATTTCGTAATCCAGCGCATTGACATTTTCAGCCGAATCAATAAAATCATTATATTTTTGGGTCGCTAAAATCTATATGATTTTGTATATGAAAAAAGCCGCTTAAATAGAAAAGTATCGTTGGATGTAAAACTTACAATGAAATTTTTTTAAATTGTGATTCGCATATGTTTATTATTCCGAACTCTTTCGACTCCTCGAGCATGTTCGAGTCCGACGTATAGTAAAATCACGTAGTTCATCCCAAGCTTGGCTGAGAACTAAAAATTTTGATGTGTGATTGGTTTAAAGGGCCACGAAAACAATTACTATGACGTTTTCCCGTCTATGGATTTGCTAAAGATTTTTGGAGCTCCGTGGGACGCCACGCACACGTCAATCTTCGTTGAGTAATGGATTACGAGCCTTTTTCGTTGGTAAAGTCAAGTGCGTGAGTGTCACGGTGCGGCAAGAATATCGCAAAGCCGAAAGCCAGAAAATCCATAGCTGTGTCTTGCCTGTTTTTTTTTAAATCGATCTTTAAAAAACCAACCATTTTCCATAAAAATTGTCATTAAATTTCGACTAACCAGTCCATCGGTACCTTGACTGGTTGCCTGAAAGTCATCTGATTTTTTAGATGCAAAACTTGCCAAACAAATCGAAATTGCGGTTATAATTCTAGAAATTTTTTTAATCGCAATGAGCCAAAAGTTGTATAACCTTGAAAGTGGAAGGTCCGGAATGCTTAAAGGAACTTCGAAGGTGTGTTTTTGGAGTAATATATAACAGTTAAACGTGCGCTAATCTTGAGTGTTATTAATTCTCTATCAAATCAGTTTCTTTTCCTGACGATAAAACATACGTCTTATTATTGTAATACTAATGTGTCCAAGCTACAGGTAATAAACAACCTAGATTACTAGCATCATCCATATCAAAAGCTTCCGGTTGTGCCATAGTTTGAACGATCAACTTTGAAGGCGCTGTATCCACGGAGTCCTCAAAAATATTGCTATAAAACAAAAATCTCAAGATTTACCGCTCCCGAATCCCCTCCGCCATTTTTAACATCTTCAGAACCGTTTAGTTGGTCCTAAATGGAGCGGAATATTTTTTTGATAAAAAGGTGCTACCGTAGGAAGGCTTGGTTTTTGCCACGTCTCCGTTCAGCCTCGTGAGGAACGGATTGGATAGCTAGAAATTGATTTCCCGTTTACAAGAATGCTCAAACTGACCAAGTAATACTTCTCCACGATCCGTAACGTTGGCGCTTTCAATATTTGTTTTGCGGTTTCCATCCATCCGCGAGGAACATCGCTTTAATCTGCTCGATAAGCTGAAAACAGAAAAGTTTTAATGGACGTAAATGGAGGGTGGCTATCAATTCTTTTTGGGTGTGGATTAACTATGGATTTTCTATTGCCCGCGACACGCAACGCGCACGCCCGCCCTTTCTATTGCGTAATCAATACGAGCACAATCAAGCTTTTTACAGCGGTAGGTAAAGTCGAGCTTGTGCGTCACGTATCACGTTTAGACCTTTCTTCGCCCTTTAATTTTGGTAATTTTCTCTAGCAGTTCCAACAATTCAAATTTGGTGTTTTCGGGGTTTTGGCGCCAGAAAGCTGCTCAAAATTAAGCAAAAACATTTTGAATAGTTTTTGGATTTCTATTTTCAAAATTTAACGTACCTTAATAGATTCATTTTATTAATTGAAATATTGCATTTAATCATATAAAATTAATCTGCCTGGAATATAGCTTCCAAGCAGTAGAATCAAGTGCATTATTGCACCCGAATTTCGAGACGGTTTTATTAGCAAACCGCCATCATGGAGAAATCACCGCAAGATGAGGCAGCCGGAGTTACCTGGAATTTGAAAAAATTATCCTTTTAATGCGAATTAAAAAATAA